AAAATAGCATCAGAAAATGGTCGTTGGACATTAATAATATCATAGGGAAAATCAGGATGTATTCAAAAACATTTATTCTATATATTTTTCAAATTTGAATTGCCATAATTGATTATATTACCAGTATAATTAATTATGATAGAGAAAATCATTTTTCCCTTTCCGGTGCATCATAATTAATTATGACAGTGAAAAATATCATGTTATGAATTTTATCACACTTGTGCTTTGGAGGCTTATGCATAATATTACTTCATCAACTTGTACCTCCATATCCAGTATTCTAAGACTCTATCTAGTCTTCAAGAATCATCATCAAAATCATCTCTTGGGAATGTAGGAACATTTCCATCAATCTCCCCCTCATTGCTTTCAATCTCCCCCTTTTTGATGATGATAAAGGAAACACCTGAAATGAATTAAAATGCTTGACTCTATATAGCCAGCTCAAGATTAGCACAGATTTGTATCAAGTGTCAGAGTCTCTTAATCTCTGCCTGGATATATTAATAACAAGACTCCCCCTAACTCATATGAGCAAATACTTCTCTTAACTCCCCTTGTTTAATTTAGATAGGAAAGAATTTCACACAGATTTTAATTGATCAAAAAATCTTCCCTTGTTTCATTGATAATCATAAAAAAATATTATAAGAAAAAATCTTCCCCTGTTTCAGACATGATTAATATCATCAAAATATCTTCCTGTTTCATTGATAATTAAAAAAATATTATAAGAAAAAATCTTCCCCTGTTTCAGACAGATTAATATCATCAAAATATTTCCATGTTTCATTGATAATTATGAAAAATATTATAAGAGAAAAAAATCTCCCCCTGTTTCACACAGATTAATATCATCAAAATATCTTCATGTTTCATTTTTCATTCATAATTATGAAAAATATTACAATAGAAACTGAGAACAAATTTGTACCTATTAGTATATAAATCAAGGTAGAGAAGATAATGCATTAAAAAGTATCATAGAGAAGAATATCATATTAAGTAAACAATATATAGGATACCCAAGACAAATGAAGAGAGAGAAAGATAGGGGAATAAAATGATTATAGAGATAATGAAATTAAATGCAGTAGTTTTCCTCCATTGCAGTCTTCTTATTTAGGCAGCTTTCAAATTCAAATGCACTCATATTCTAGATTTCAAATTCAAATTGCAACAAATTTCAAATTTCAAATTCAAATTCCAACCAATTCCAAATTTCTAATCCCAAATTTCAAATTCAAACTTCAAATTCCAATTCAATTTCAAAAATCTCAACCTGCAAAATTTTCAAATTTCAAAAGCTCAAACTACAAAATTTCAAATTTCAAAAATCTCAAATTGTAAAATTTCAAGTTTCAAAAATCTCATATTGCAACAAAATTTCAAACTGCAAAATTTCAAATTTCAAAAATCTCATATTACAAAAAAATCTCAAACTGCAAAATTTCAAATTTCAAAAATCTCAAATTACAAGATTTTAAACTTTATAATTTCAAATTTTCATAAATTCAAATTTTCAAAATTCAAACTTTCAAATTTCAAAGTTGATTAACATAATTGATTATGACAACAAGAAAAAAATTTCGATTCTGATAATCAATTAGATGCTCAAATTATCATTTAGACATGTATAAATGCTTCGTTCCTTTAGGCACCCATTCATATTTCATAACCTAATATCGAATCAAAATTTTCAGAAGATTTTGAAAAATTGCTTATTATTTTCTCTAACTTGAAAATCTCATTTTTCAAAAGATTACAATTTTCACAAGGTTTAACAACTTCTTTATTTTTAGACAAAGTTTTAGATTTCTCAACATCTTTCTTTAAGCACTCATTTTCTTTTTCAAGAATATCAACAGTATTTTCTAATGCATTAAACTTTTGCCTAAGTGCATTGTATTTCTTAGATAATTTGGTAAAACCTTCATACATATCTTAATATTCTTTAAATAACTCATCATATTCATTTAAGGAGTTTGTACTATTTACCTGTGATGAGGCTTCATCATCACTTTTTGTCATCAAGCAAATATTTGATTCTTCTTCTCCATCACTGCTTTCGGAAGAACTCTCTTGTGTTGTGGAATAATCATTATCCTCCAATGCAATATAAGCTTTGTGTTTACTCTTATAGGTATCGTTCTTCTCTTTCACATCTTTCTTCTCTTTCTTAAGTTTCGGACAGTCTGATTTGATATGACCAGGTTTTCCACATTCATAGCAATGAAATTTATTTGTTTTCTCCTTTCTTTGTTGTCTCTTTTTCCTGTTCTTCATAAAGCGAGAAAATTGTTTAACAAAAAGAGACATATCGGAATCTGAAAACTTACCTTCATTTTCGCTTTCGTCTTGTGAAGATTTTTCTACTTTTAGAGCTATCGTCTTGGTTTGATTTTGTTCACCGTTCTTTAACCTTTGTAGCTTCATCTCATGTTCTTGCAACTTTCCAAATAGAGTAGCAATATTCATTTTTGTGAGATCCTTTGATTCTGTAATAGCAGTGACCTTTGGTTGCCAATTCCTGTCTAAGGATTTCAAGATCTTTGTGTTCAACTCCTCATTGTCAAAACTCTTTCCGAATGCTTTCATGTTATTTACTATATGTGTGAAGCGTGTTTGGAAATTCGTGATGCTTTCATTTTGCTGCATTTGAAATAATTCATACCCCTGGATGAGTGTGTTTTTACGTGCTTGCTTTACTTCATTTGTTCCTTCATGTGTTACTTCAAGAGTGTCCCATATTTCTTTTGTCGTCTTGCATTGTGAGACCCTGAAAAATTCATTACGAGTTAAGGTAGAAACAGTAGCATTTCGGGCTCTTACATCATAATAGGCACGCTTATTTTCATCCGGCGTCCATTGATCAAAAGTCTTTGGAACAGCTCCAGACTTCGTTGTTCTCATCGGAATGTAGGGACCATTGAGTACAACATCCCAAACACCATAATCTAGTGTTTGTAAAAATATTTCCATTCTCGCCTTCCAAAACTGATAGTCTTCTCCTTCAAATAATGGTGGTCTGTTTATTGAAGTTTCTTCCCTGTAAACCTGATTCTGCATAGACATCTTGACAGATCGTTTAGAAATATCTTATCTAACCAAGCTCTGATACCACTTTTTAGACAAATGGCATCTAGAGGGGGGGTGAATAGATGCACAAATTAAAATAGATGTCAAATTAAAAATTTATTTGTGAGTCAATAATTTGTTAAAGCGGAAGCAATAATATAATCAGGAAAAGAGAAAATAATATAATCAGGAAAAGAGAAAGAGATAAGGGAAAGAGAAGAGCACACAGAGATTTATACTGGTTCGGGTATAGCCAACCCTACATCCAGTTCCCAGTCAACTCTTAACACAAGAGTGACTCCCCATTCACTATCTTTCAAATTCAGTTTACAAATTACAATCAACTCAGCAGAAGAACCAGTAAAAAGTAAACTAATTAAAAAGACAATCACCTCCTTAGAAACCCACTAAGGATGAACACCTCCCTAGAATCCCACTAGGGATGAACACCTCCTCTGAACAAATCAAATGATGAAAAAATACCTCCTTAGAATCTCACTGAGGATGAACCCCTCCCTAAAATCACACTAGGGATGAAAAACATCTCATTTTCCACCAATGCAAAAAGGATGAAGGTAATAAAAATAAGAACAGACACACCTGGGTAATGTAGACAACAAATTATAGAAGTCTGTAAAATGCCAATCTCCAAGAACAAGTGTGATTAATAATGAAAGCACAAAAGGCAGTAGAGAAGAGAGTTTTCTCAAAAGGTATCTCTGTTGCCTTTTTCAGAATTCTTTTCTCAAAACTGATTGAAAGTAAATTGTATTTTCGAATTCTGTAATTGTGTGTTTTTGATTTTTCATCAAAACTTAATTAAATAGAAAAATAACATCAGAAAATGGCAGTTGGACATTAATAATATCATAGAGAAAATCAGGATGTATTCAAAAACATTTATTCTTTAAAACGAATATATTTTTTAAATTTGAATTGTTATAATTGATTATATTACCAGTATAATTAATTATGATAGAGAAAATCATTTTTCCATTTCTGGTGCATCATAATTAATTATGACAGTGAAAAATATCATGTTATGAATTTTATCACACTTGTGCTTTGGAGGCTTATGCATAATATTACTTCATCAACTTGTACCTCCATATTCAGTATTATAAGGAATCATCTTGGGCTTGCTTGAATCATCATCTTTATCGATTACGTCATAAATTCAGTTTATCCTTAAATTCATCTTGAATGGTGTTGACTTGAATCAAAATCATCTCTTGGGAATGTAGGAACATTTTCATCAATCTCCCCTCATTTCAAGTTAGAATAAATTAAAAAAAAATTATCCATTAAGATATAGATAATATTAAATTATTAATATTCTTTTCACAAATTGTGGGATTACGCCATGCGTAACCCACGTCCCGTTTTGACGGCTGTAGTTTGAATGGGTGAACGTTAAAGAGGAAAAAGATGATTTGATAAAGGGTAAAAGAAGAGAGAAGAATTTAGTAGAAGGATTCAAACCACCATCTATCCCTTATAACCCGATGAAGGTTGATCCGTAATTACGTATCCAAACGTTGGAATAGGTCTTACTTACTCTTTGATCCCACAATTACTGTATTTCTGCGTTGTGCATTTCACACTTCACAAAACACTATTCACATTACAATTAACAAACAGGATCCGCTAATAATCCACACTATGGCTCTCTTTTAAATAATTTATATAAATAAAGTCGAGTGTACCAGTCAAGGAACAATTTGCAGAACCAAAAACAGAAGAAAAATAAACAAGGTTAATGCAAAACATTTTCCTTTTCAAATTTCAAAATTTTGTCAATCACGTACATATGTTACTACTATACATTTTCGTTTATCGTGAGTACTGTAAATATTGTGCCTGTTTTCTTAAATTATCACAAACAAAACAAGGTTTTATCCCCAGTCATAACCATTCATTCACTGATAGGTGGCGAAGATGCTGAGAAGGGTAGCACAGGCCAGAGCTAAGAGTCCCTTCTGTGATCTGAATATAGCGCTGCCCACACACCACGTCACATCAAGGGTAATTCGCCATCTCTGTTGAATCAAAACCTTGCGATGGTAACCTGAAAACCTCAGCAGCACCAACACTGTGATAAATGTCACCATTATGGCACGGAAAGCCAACACCACCACTGATGCGAGACTCAGTAGCGCCAATACCCAATAGAATCCTTGTATCTTTCGATCGGGTAACGCACAGAGAAAACCGGACGCGGTCACAGATACCAACAAGGCCAAGATTATGCAAGTCTTGGTCATGGTTTTGCAGGCTCCCACAAAACACAGAAGCCTGGGGAAGAAGGTAAAAGTTGACATATAAGCATAGAACAATGATGGTGCTTATATGAAATATGTATGACCAGTGGTGCTTTAATTATTAGGTAATGTGGTTTTGTAATAGTGAATGACACTGCTTAAATCCAATAACTGAATAACTGAATAATAAAATGAGATAATTATGTAAATGAATCAGAGGGAGGGAGTATAAGTTGAAGTAAATCTCCATCGCACAGGTGAAGTTATTATATAGATTTGTTTACATAATCTAGGTTGGGTAAATAGAGATAATTTCAAATTATTAGAGATTATCTTTTATTAGGTAATATTATATATAGTTGCAAACAAATAATATGTTGAACATAATATTAGAAATAGATAATAATAACAATAATATATTTTATTTATTTTACATCTTATACACAATTTTAAAATTGTTTTATAGTTTCCATTTTTTAATAAAGTAGTTTTTATTTGTCAAATTTAACATTGATATATATAACGAAATATTTGTGCACAAGTTTAACTGTATTGATCTTCATATATATATATATATATATATATATATATATATATATATATATATATATATATATATATATATATATATATATATATATCGTTGTTAAAAATTCATTTAAAAAAAAGAGAGTAAAAATAGTATTTATGTATTTAGTAGATTTAAATAAATATTTGATACTTTTGGAAAATAAATTAATATGATTTTAATAAAATATTAACAACATAATAAATATGATATATTATTTTAAAATTTTAATAAATAAGCCTTCTAACTGTAACTTTTTCAGTCTAACAAATATTTTAATAATAATAAATAGATTTAATATGTTTTTATATTTTCTATCATTTTATTTGGTTTTATTTTAAAAAATTATTTTTAAATATGTAATATTTATCAATTAGTATATTTTTATTATTTATCATTAATCATCAAATATAGTTGAATAAACAAAAATATTAATTAGATAAAAAAAACACACAAATTAAGTTAACGAGCGGAAATACTATGCAACAGTCTCAGTATCTCCAATTTTGTATATTATCAAAATTTATTTAAAATAATATTTGTTTCTTTTAAACTTTTATAACATTGCAATAAAAATTTCATCCCATTATTTTATACGAAATAGTAATAATTTTATTCTTTATTTTGTCTTTTTATAATATATAATACCTGTTTTTTTTGTATACTTTATATTACAATAAAATAATGATTTTTATTTGATAAAGGGTAATACAATTTTACAAATTATGATAAAAAATAATTTTTTTATAAAAAATCATCTTTATATAAGTATTAAAATATTATTTTAATATATAATTCAATTGCTCAATGTATTCATTATTCAATATAAATATATTAATTACATATATTATTCTTATTTTTTTCAGTCAATAATTTTTTTTATTATCATATAATTATTATTTATTACATGTTTACAAATTATTTTCTATAAATTATTTCTGACGTTGTAATATATAATGATTGTAATGTAATTTAATTTTTTATATATCATAAGCAATAATGTTATTTCTAAAGAAAAATAATAATAAAGTAATAAAATATATTTAATTTTTAAATAATCTATTATAGTAAATTAAAATTTTGAATATAATATAACAAATAATCATTACTATTTAATTTTTTATTTTTATGCACCCAAAAATTATAAAAATTTAAGATTTTTAAATATATTATTCACAGGAAAAATTTAAAAATTAATGTATGGGATAAACAATGTTATTTTAATAAATATAATTTTTATATTAAAATAATAAATTGCAAAATTATTAATATATATATATATATATATATATATATATTATAACATTTAGGATAAAGAAAGAAGTTACTAATAGTAGAATTGCAATTTATATCAAAGTTGTTATTTCTGATATCATTACAATTTTTTAATAATAGTAAAAGACTATATTGAAATGTAACTCTTTGTTATTAAATGAATTCCTAAAATGGTACACTATTTCACATTCTAAACAATGGTTTTTATCCTTTTCACTGTAAAATGGATAATTTATACATTAAAAGTACCTTAATATATATATATATATATATATATATATATATATATATATATATATATATATATAACTTTTATTTTCAGTTTTAATAGAGAAAGATCAGCTTATTGTGATCATATATAAAACTTAATAAGTTTTAATTAATTGATTTATTTTAATGGATTTTGACTACATTAATATTAATTAATAATTATTTTAAATTATAATTAATATTTTTCTCAATTATTAAGTTATTTATTAAGACGTTGAAAAATAAAGAGTACAAATTTAATTTTTATGTATTAAAACGTCTATATCAACATTGGGAATGGTAACAAAAATTAACATGGTAAAATTTTTACAATAAATATCAATATTATGATGTAATGGTAAATATGATTTTTTTTTCTCTATTTTTTTTCTTTTTCTGATTTTTATTTTTTTAATCTTATTGTATCTAATTGTTTTAGTTTTATCAAAAATTTGTTTTTTAATGGTTACATGACTTAATTATACTTAAAAAAAACACAAATATCAATATACATACATAAAAGTGATTTAATTTTAAAATAATATAAAACTATTTCATCAATGCTGATATTTGTTATGTGATTGATAATATATATATATATATATATATATATATATATATATATATATATATATATATATATATATTTGTGGGAATGATAAATAATAATGGTCATAATATATATTTTAAAAGGGTTGGAGTGAGATAGTTGTTTAACAGATTTATTATGGATATATCTAAAAATATAAATTTATAGAAAATTTTAATATTTTAAAAACTGACAATATAATAAAAAAATATTTAATTTAAATGCAATCTGTTTAATATATATATATATATATATATATATATATATAAACAAATTTTATAATCAATTACAAATATATTTAATATAATCCACTATAAAAATGAAATTTGATAATGTTTTATTCATTAAATAAAATATTGACTCATTTTAATCAAAAGTATTTAAAATTAACATAACAAATCAATGAAATATTATAATACTATTGATTAATGCATTTATTTGTGTAATGAATTTCAAAATAATTTATTAAAACAATTAAGAAGGAAGACATTACTAATTAAATACATTATTGATTACTTTTAATCCATCTGTTAAGGTTCCAACATAAAACCAATTGGCAATATGTGAGAGTAGCTTCAACATGTATTTAAACCATACCAAATGACATGAGGTAGGCGATGTGGGACTTTCAACACCATCAATGATTTTATATTAAAATTATACACTATTCAAACATTTAAAAGAAAGAAAATAAGTGTTTGAACATTAGATTATTAATAATATTTTAAGTTAAATAATGTAGTTTTTTATTTGTATAAATAATCGATTTGTATTTTCCTTCTAAAATATGAAGATAAAATTTATTGCATATTTTATATTTTTAGAACTTTACTTTAGTAATTAAGAAAAATATTAATTTAGTATGAAAATTATCAAAAACAATATTTAATTTTATTTATTATTTAACAAATGTAATTTAACAATTTAATATTTTATTATAGAATGAACGGTTTATTTAAATTGATATATTAAAAAATTGTTAATATTTGATAAATGATATATATATATATATATATATATATATATATATATATATTAAAGTATTCAGTTATCTAAGTAAAAATTAGAAATTTACTCTTTATTTTCATTTATAAATAATTTATTTAAGATGAAATACTATTCTATATTATTAAATTAAAAAATAATAAAAATATAATATAATTTTTCCATTTTATTTTTTTAAGCGAAAAAAATACAAATTTAAAATAAAAAATACTAATTCATATTCTGAAAAAGGTAATAGTTAAGCAACAATCCATTATTTTTATTATAATAAGACTAATGCATTTTATAATGCATATTTTAAACTGAAAAGTGTAGTTTAAAATTAGTAATAATAATATTCATAATTCACATTTTATAGTTATATAAACAATCAAAATATATAGTTTTTATAACCTGTCATCAAACACAATTAAATTTTCTCCACATAATTTATTTAAATATAATATAGAAATTATATATATATATATATATATATATATATGTATATATATATATATATATATATGTATATATATAATCAAATTAAAAAACTAATTATTGTAAGTTATAAAATTGATAAATAATTTAGTATACTATTTTTATATAAAATATTAATTAATATAATTAGTATTTTTTATATATTCTATATTTTGATCAGTATAAAAATATTTATTATCCTTCTTGTTTGTCCATTAATATTAATTTTAATTATATATCTATATAAAGAAAATATATAATATCATTTATTAAATAAAAATAACAATTTTTATTAAATAATAACTTATATTGTAACATCTTAAATTATATAAAAATAAACATTAAAAATAAGATATTATGTTATATATTACTAAAATATTTAATTCATATTAATAAAAAGGTTATAAATATATAAATTATAATATTTTTTTCGTTAAACTATAATATTTTTATCAAAAGAGCAGTGATAAAAGGAATTTTTTTATTATTAATTTTTATTTTATTGAATAATTTAATTATTTTTATTTAATAAAAATAATATAATTTATTAAATAATAATAAATAATTAAAAAATCTTTTATATAATAAAAAATTATATAATTATTAATTTAAATTTTATTAAATAACTTAATTATTTTTATTTTATAAACGATAAAATAATTTATTAAATGATGAAAACCACATTATTAAGAACGGTATATATAATATTTTGAATACACAGAAATAAACATTAAAAATACCTTGTTATATATTTTTAAAATATATAATCAATGGGGCAAATTAAGTGAAAAAGTTACCAAAGATTTTTTAAAATATACAATCAAATGGTGTAAAATTAAGTGAAAAGGTTACCAACAATTTTTTTTTAATTATATACAATTATTTTTTTATAATTGTGTAGTAATTAATTTATGTTTTCTTAAATAATTAAACTATTTTCATTATTAAAAATAAAATAATGGTATAAATATTATAGATATTTTTAAAATATTATAATTTATATAATTTAGTTATATACTAAAATCAACATTACAATATTAAACCATTTAAATATAAAATTATGCTAGAAAAATTTATAATTATTTTATACTCGTATTAAAATTCGCTTTTAATAATAAATAATAATACGTGAAAATATTATCGCTTAGAAAATTAATGATTTCATATTAAATTTATAGAGAATACAAACTTTTACAAATATGATTTTTTTTTTTACCTAACTAAAATGCCATTAAAGATTTTTTTTATGTAAGCATATTTAACTTGTCACCCGTTTAAATTTAATACCATTAAAAATAACAAAAGCAGTTAATATATTTCTTCAGGTTCTTTTTCATTCCAATTAAACTTAAATTTTATTTTTTATAATATTTTTAATGCATTGTATAACATATTGTTATTAATTGTTTTACTTATTCATTAATTTTTATCATTATTATATATGTTTTAGTTTGATGCAATTCATAATAAAAAATTTCAAAATTTTCATACAGTTCGATTACCTTTTTATATTTTCCTCTTGTTTATTCATTTCATAGATACATTGATTTTTATATTAAGTATAAATTATATTATATTTTTCAATTATGTGTTTCAATATTCTAAGTTATTATACTAAACGATCAAAGAAACAAAATCTAGTTATTTTTTCAAACTAAAATTGTTAGAAATACGAGGGTTTCAAACTTGTAAATATTGTGATTATGATAAAAGAAATTAATTTTATTATTTATAACATCCTAATTTAGAAGATCTTAATATAATAACTTGATCGTAACGATTTAAAATATATTATTTAATTGAGTTAGAAATCTAAATTTTTCTTGATTGTGAAACTCTGTAACTATTTTTTGCATAATAATTGTTGGACGATGAATAATTCGTTAAGTGAAATTTATTTTAGTGAATAATTTTTTAAGTGAAACTCATTTTAGTGAATAATTCTTTAAGTGAAACTCATTTTAACGAGAATCCGAAAGCTTTATCATTGGGCGCGATGCGACTAAAAGTCGTTCCACGAGAAGTGTGTTGGTTTAGCATTTAACTAAAATTTATTGAGCAAATAAACGTGTGACTGAAAAATAAGTATTTTTTAGTTTTTAAATAATATATTTTAAATAATTTTTATACTAAAATTGTTTATATTTTACTTAATTATCATATTTCAACAATTTATTATATTTGAATATTTATTATTGTTTGATAAATGTTAAATTGAAATTTTAAATATTTATATTTATTTTGTATGATTTTGAATGATAAGTTATAATTTGTGAAGTAATATGAGTTATAATAAAATTAATATCACGTTATGTATGATTATGGGTAAGTGTGACTGTGTATATAATATTGCTCACTTGTTAAAATTGTACATCTTAATATAAATTATTATCTTTATATTGTATTGCTTAAGTCAAATTCTTTATTTATTTTTATCTTACAGAGTTGAAGTATTCACAAAATTATTAGAATGTTTTATTCATTCAAATCGGTAAATAATTGGCTACAACATTCTAATAATTTATATTTTTAAATTAAGAATAATCATGGTTAATAATATAATTATCAATTATCATAATTTTGTTGTCTAATCTTATATTAGGCGGGACAATTTTACCTTCAATAAAAAAAATATGTATATATATATATATATATATAATATTTATATAAAAATAATTTATCTAAAAAAATTAAAAATAAAATTATTTTCAATAAAATTATAAACTTTAAATTATATTAATAAAATTAATTTTATTTAAAATATAATAATTTAATAAATAAATTATTAAAGGAAGAATTCATTCGTTCTAAAAATAAGAATTAAATTATTCTTTATTTCTTCAATTCCCTAGAGTTATTTTTTATCCCTTTATTTTATTTTTATTTTGAAATAAGTGAATTAATTTATTATATATATATATAATTATTAAAATAACATATTACTTCATTATTATTAAAAAATAATTATTATTTTATAAAATATATTAATTTATAAGTTTATGCATTAATCTAAATCATAAGTCATAAATTAAATAGATCAAACTAAAATTAAATTATAAATTTATGCGTTAATATAATTAAATTCATAAGATATATATTATTTATTTTTATTAAAAAATAATTATTATTTTATAAAATATAATGATTCATAAATTTATGCATTAATCTTATTTAAGTTCATAAATTAGATTGATCAAAGTAAAATTAACCTAATTCAATATGGGTCAAATTAAATCAATTTTAATATTTTACTATATTGTGTAAAACTTATTTAAAAATTTATGTAATAATTTATAACTTATTCATACAACATAATATTTATTCATACAACATAGTATTAGTCATGAAACAATTGAAAGAAAATTTTCAAAGTCAAATTGAATCAATTTTTTATCTAAACGTTACACTTATTCGTGTCAAGTCAATCCTTTAAAATATTTAACAAAAAGATTTATGTTCTTGGTCAAAGAATGATTAATGAATAATATAAATTTATATTAATTGTTAACAAAAAAAATTAAGAAATTAAATTATATAATATTCTAATTACAAATATGATGATTGAAAAATGAGAAATGAATTTCACTCACCAACATACATGTTTTAATCTTCCATACCATTTTCTTCCTATAAAATGGCTGAGATGAGAAATGAATTCCACTCACCAAAACACATATCACTTTGTTGGTGCTAATACTTCACTCACTCATTTTCTCCTTTAAACCTTGAATTCCATTTACTCAAACCTTGTTCTTTCAGGCCATTTAAGGTATATGTAGAGATACTCACCTTCCTCTCTTTTTTCAATTGTGATTTTTTATCTGCTTTTTTTTTTTCTAACAAATTGAGTCAAAAACAAAAAATCAGAGACAGAACCATGAATAGAAAAATTGGTAGGACTGTGAAACTTGAGTTTGATTTGAACTCATCTCCGCCAACGAATGTTGACCGTAAACTTCAGTCCCTAACTCCATCAACAAAGGTGTCACCAACATCAGCACCAAAACCATGTGTTTCCATTGGGCCGAACCAAGATAACAAGAACAACAACGTTGAAGGCACTTCCATGGTGGTAGTAGGGTGCTCTCACTGTCTTATGTATGTGATGCTGTATAAGGGTGGAGTCAAGTGCCCAATATGCAAAAACTCTGGTTTGATTTATTTTCTCAATGGTAACAACCAAACAACAAGGAGGGGATAAAATATTAGCCAATCTATTTTCATTCATGTATTCTTTTGCATGTCGGACATGTTTGCATTTGAACTAAGATTCTCCTTTTAAAGATATTTGTCTTGTATTATCTTTTTGAGAGGTTATGAATAAATGGTTGTTCACTAATAATGAAGCACAAGGTATTTTGATAATCTATAACTGCTTTTCTTATTTGATTTATGGGTACCGTTTTTTACTTTTGATATTATGAATATGATTTTTTTTTATGTTATCAATAATTAGAATTATATATATATTCATCCTCAAACAAAACACTGAAAGTTTAATAAAGTAATATTGACAACTGATCATTAATAAATAGTAATGGCGAAAAAAAAGAAAACGATAAAAAAATTGAACTAGATGTTAGATTGTCTAAATGGATTGTCTAATCAAATTTGAATTGATGTTATTATGGCCGAGAAAAAAGAATTTGATATTTCAATCGAATTTATATTTTAAAATGAATTATTAGTTATCTAATTTAGTTTTATATTAGTTCAACATATTAATAAGTTAATTTATTTTATTTAAAATTAAAAAATATATGTAAAAAAATAATTATCCAAAAAAATTAAACTAAAAAATTATAAAAATAAATATATTTTAAAAAATTAAATTATATTCATAAAATTATTTTTATTATAAATATAATTATTTCATATATAAATTATAAAAAAATATTTCTTAAATAAAAATTAAAAATTTATTCTTTATTTTTAATAATATAATTATTTATTATAATATTTTATTTTAATTCTTATTATTAAAATATGTGAATCTTTTATCAAAATTAATTTATAATATATATATATTATATATATATATATATATATTAATAAAGTGATATTATTTTATTTTTATTAAAAATATAATAATTATTTTATAAATCGACTTCGTAAATCTACAAACTCATAATATAAGCGAAACCTATATAAGTCATATGTTAAATGAATCAAACCAAAATTAAACTGATTTAATTTAATTTATACATTTTTTTATCTACATTTATTTCCTTTTCGGACCTTTTACATATAGGAATACACTTATTTTCAAACCCATAATTATATGTTACTTTAGACTTATAATTTTATTCCATACAGATATGATAAACAATACAATATGATGTCTTTAACTTAAGACAATATTATCTCTATACGTCAAACATATTAAATATTAGAACAACAAAAGATGGTTTTTTTCCTAAGTCTATATGAATTTTTGAATCATTAATTTTCAAGTAAATAATAATGAAAAAAATTAAGAGTAAATTGTATAGTATTTTTTAGCAGTATGACATTGCTTGGAGGAAATAAAATCAATAATTTTAGTGGACTGAGTGAATTTAAAATAGTGAAAAAAATATTTAAAAATTTGAGAAAAGAGATAGTAAAAAAATGAGAAAATAGATAAAAAGTTTGAAATTAATTTGACAAAATAAAAAATAAAATTATTTAAATAATATAATGAATCATAAAAATAATCTATCTTAAAATTCAATAAAAATAAGTATGAATTAAAAATGAAAGATAGTTAAATATGAAGTAATTTTTTTAAAATAAAAATAATATTAAATATCATTTACAAATAATTTTTAAATAAAATATTATATATAAATTTTAGTTTCACCTATTAATTTGAATATATATATATATATATATATATATATATATAAGGATTATATTATAATTGTAACGTTTTATTTTAAAATAAAAATATATATAATATAATTATTTATTCAAATTAATTAAATTTAAATAACATAATATTTTTTTTAGTATAAAATAAGTTGAATTGTTAGAGAAAGATAAATATAAAATAATAAAATTAAAAAATAAAGTTAGAAAGATAAAATTTAAAAGATAAAACTAAAAAGATGATAAATAAAAATAAATTAGATTTATTCTTTAAAAACTCAATTTTACTTATCAACGTATAAATAAATATTAGATCATTTTCGTTTTCATTTGCCTCTTATATAGTTTCTAACAGTTAGAGAAATCTTAGGGGAGATGACATGCGAGAAGTGTTTGGAAAGCGGCTTTTAGATTAGTAAGTTAAATATTAAAATGTTGTGTATCATTATTTAAGGTAAATTTGAGAATGAAAAATTGTAGCTGCTTATAATAATTGAGGGTAAAGAGACCATCCTTAAACGTTAATAAAATTTTGTTATGTGTAATTAATGATAATTATATTTTAAACTTAATTCTATCAACTCAAATTAATTATTGATTTGTGTAGTATTTAGGATCTTAAAATCTTATTTATGAAAATTGATTGTGTTCTATAAGAACCTTAGCTCTTGATAAATGATAAATGACAAATGAGTAAAAATATATTAAATTGATTTTAAATCTCGTGAAATTATAGTTAAGTTATTATTTTTTATTATTTTTAGGATATTGATATATTATTTAGGTTAAATAGTTAATTTAGTCCCTTTTATTTTTTTTTAAATGTTTCAATGTGGTCCTAAATTTTTTTAATTTTTAATTTAGACATGAATATTAAAATTGAAATCAATTTTGGACTACCGATTATTTATGTTTTGACTCCGTTATATTAGATATCTAATTGGAGTATCAGTTCTGATGTGGTTAGGTGATTGGTTATACTTACGTGATAAATTTGCCACGTCACATTATCACCACTCCTCTCTCGTCACAGTCGTTCCTTCGATGTCGTAATGGGTCTCAGGTAGTCCCTCCCGCGTGCTCGACTTTGCCGTCGTTATAGGTCCTCTTTCCCTCGTCATCGAAAACAACTTGCTACCTCGATGTTGTCGTCGCAAACCCTAAATGGAACCAACCTCCTCCTCCTTCGTCACAGTCAATCTCACACACGATGGCGATTGGAACCCTAAACCCCCACTGTCGTCACAAATGGAACTCTTGTTAGCAAAATTTGGGTCATGTATATATATGATACATAATTTAAATGTGTTAGGGTCATTATTTATTAAGCCAAATAATAAAGTGATCTGACTAAATTAAAGTTTTGGCTAAAGGCATATGTCATGAAAACAAAATTGTGTAGAGACCATTGAGAAATTTCTAATTTGATGAGGGGCCAAATTGGAAATACTAAAACTTAAGTAATTAACCTAATTCTGGTTATCTAAAGGGTCATGGTCCCCTTCTGGGAACACACACACAGAACGTAAATATCAGTCCCGTTCCTTTCTTTCTATCCCCATCAAGAGAGAAAATCAAGAGGGAAATACAGGTGCTCTTCAGGTGGAAGACCATAAGATCAATATAGTGCTCTACAAAGACATCATCGTTATGGCTAATTCAGGTACGCTTTCGCATTCAGTTTACAACATGTTTATCAGTATGGGATTATGTTTATGTTTGATCATGTTTATCAGTATGGGATTATGTTTATGTTTAATCGTTAGAATCAAAATCAGGATTATTATTATTATTATTATTAATTTTCCAACAATTGGTATCAGAGCCGCCCATATTTGATTCATGTCTGTTTAATTTATAGAACCCTAATTATAAAAATTAGGATTAATTTTGTTTTAAACAATTCAAATTACCCAATTTTATGAACCCTAAGTGGAGAATAATCTCTAATTTTCGTGAACCCTAAAATTTAAATTTGGGGGTAACATCCTCAATCTGATTTTGCTTGCTGATGGAACCGTGGAGGAAGTTATGGATTCTTATTCTTCTTCGTTTTTCCCTTTTGTTTCAGTTTAAGTTTCAAGTTTTACTGAGAAAGAAATAGTGTTTCAAATTTCAATCTTTCTTGTATTGGATTCTCTGTTCTCTTTTAATCTTTTGTTTTTATTTAATTTTATGGGTTTGGAATTGGGGGTGGTGTTTGTGGAGTTCCCAACACAGAGAATATTAGGTAAATGGTGAATGTTTCCACATGTGTGGCTGTTATTATTTTATTGCCTCTATCCCCTAGGAATTTAAGGAAAATTTGATGTTAAATTAGGGTCTGAGTGATTACTGTTTAATTCCCTTTTAGGGTTTAGAGCAGTATGCTAAAGAGACTCAGAACTATCTCTGTTTCATCCCTAGTGTGATTTTAGGGAGATGTTCATCCTTTATGTATTGGTGGAAAATGAGGTCTTTTTTCATCCTTTGATTTGTTCAAATGAGGTGTTCATCCCTAATGAGATTCTAGGGAGGTGTTCATCCTTAGTAGAATTCTAATGAGGTGATTCTCTTTTGAATTAGTTTGCAAATATTAAATATTTGGTTTTGTTATATAAATAAAATATTCAATTTTTGGTAGTTTAATATTTTTGTGAGCAAATTGAGTCAAGAATTCACCAAAGTAACTTCTCTTGAATTGGGCAGTTCATGAAAAATATTGAATGTTAGTGTTTGTGTATATTCATGCGAGTATTAGTCAGCCCAAAGGAAGATTAATATTTGGCCGAATTGCATACACACTTGTAATGATAAACATGTGATAATTATAAGGATTTGCTTTGTCGATGATAAATCAATCCAAAGACTGGTTTGTTGT